GAACCAAATGGGTTTGTTGTTATCGATCTATCTTCAAAATAAGGTTATGGAAAATATAGAAGTGGATTAAATTGTTTTTATGTACCAACTTATGAATTTTCATGAAATATATATTTCTATCCAAGGCCGGCGCGATAGGGGTGTGTCGGGGGTGTGTCACAACCCCCCCCCCCCGATCAATGATTTTTAGTCGGCAAACTGGACCCTTAGTCGACAAATCGGACCCTTTTAGACTAGTTAGTCGGCAAATGTTGGCAAATTTTGGAAAAATTGTAAATTTTGGAAAACGAGGACCTTTTTTTTTTTTAGTCGGCAAAAGTTGTAATGGCATCCCCCCGCGTGACACCTACTCGCGCCGGCCCTGTTTCTATCAAATATATATTTTAAATATATATTTGATAGAAATATATATTTAAAATATATATTTAAAAAGATCTAAATGAAATCTATATTTTAAAAAGATCTAAATGAAATCTTTAAATTTAAGTCTGGATTTTTATCAAAAATCTAAAAAATTATGTTTAAAAATAGAATATTACCAAATGGCGAATTTGGTCCTAATAATAAGCCAGCACCAGTTGATGTATATCCATTTGCACTACGTAAGTACATTCCATCACCTACAGAACTTCGTTTATTCCATGGTCTTAGAAATAAACCAGATCCTGCAGCTCTATCCTTAACTCATTGTCTATTCTTTTTCAAGTAAACAATACCGTTTCCAGCAATTTTATTGACTGCAGCATTTCTAGCTGCTGCACCTACTCCTGTTAATAGTCCTGTTGCAAGTGATGGAACAATTTTTGACATTAAAAAACTTCCAGCTGTACCTAGTAAAGGTAAAAGTGCTCCAATAAATCCACCTTCTACTTTAGAATTATGCACGAGTTGTGTTTTACTTAAAATAAGTCTTACACCAGTACCTATTTTATATGCTTTTTAAATTCTATTCAACTGTGTAGATGTTACAGCAGTTACGTGTTCATCATTAAGATCTGAATATGGTAGTTCAATACTAGCTCCATAACCATCTTCAATTGCTTTTTTAATTTTTTTAATTTGACCTTCTGAAACATTTATTTTAATATTATGATATGTTGCTATTTTTATATATATAGATTTTTTTTAAATCATAGATTATTTGTTCGTATTAAATGCAATTTCTTTTGAAACAGATATAATGACATCATTAGAGGAACATTCTCTTATATGAAATCTAATAGATAGTTCTTCTCCTCGTAAATTGACCAGTTTTCCATCTTGACCAACTAATCTAGTCTCCATTTGTGAAATTTTTTTTGTTGTTACTGGTAAATAAATTGGGCTTACTGGTTTTTTACAATCATATATTCAGGAGCAACACTTGGGAAAAATGAATATATAATGTTATTAGTTGTACCATTTACATATGACCCTCCTATAACACTATTTGTTACACGTATAGTGTTACTATGTAATATATTTACTATACTTTCTGTTACTATTTGTTACACGTATAGTGTTAATATGTAATATATTTACTATACTTTGCATGTTTACCTGACGAGTATACTTGACTGTTAAAACCTAAAAAAGTTCTAACTGAATTTGGAGTTGTAAAATCAATTTTAAATCCTTCTGCAAGATTTATAAATGATCTTAATGTACTATTATTTTCTCTAACTGTAATACTATTTTCTATTTCACTACTATTAAGCATTATCTCATGTATATAACTATTTGTGTCAGCAATATCATTATTTCTTTCTCGAATTGTTATATCTCTCCAATCAATTCCTTATGAGGATGTGTATATTCTCTATTTCTTGAAACATGTTTACCTGACGAGTATACTTGACTTTTAAAACCAAAAATAGTTCCAATTGAATTAGATGGTGTAAAATCAACTTTACATTTACTATAAATATTTAATAAGAATGTTATTGGAGAATTTGAATGAATATAATGTTCACAATCTTTACTATACATCATGTTTTTTATATAAATATTTATTCGAGTAATATCATAGTTTCATATCATAGTTTCCTTCTCGAATTGTTGTATCTCTCCAATCAATTCCATTATTTGAACTATATCTAAAACTATTGCTTGAAGAATTAACATTTAGTAATCTGAAATGGGCTTTTAATTCAACTAAAGCCATTTCATATTCATGATCATCTCTAAGTTTGATAACTGGATTAAACTTAGTTGTTATATCTGTACTCGTTTCATTAATCAATATATGCGTTTTTATTTATATAGATTTTTTTATATGACTTTACATTACAATAAAAGTACAATTAAAAAAATCTATATATATAAAAAATGGCAGTTTCAGTACATTAATAAGTTTTTACACAGTACAAACTTATTAATAATACTAAAAATGACAAACCTCTAGTAATTTTCAAGTTACATGAATATCTAATACATCCTTCAGTATTTAAGAATGGAAGATGTGAAATAAACAAGATTGCACAACACGTTTTTGTCATAAAATCAAGATCACAGCAACTTATTGCTTTAAAGTGCGGAGTAGCAATTAGAAAAGGTTATGCATTAGTTGCATTAAAAGAAAACCTTAAACCTAAGTTAAATTTATTAAATTCTGTAATAGCAGAGTCTGTAGATGATATTATAGTAAGTGTATTTAACAATGATATGACATGTAAAAATTAATAAAGGAGAAAGTTTTTGCTTTGTTTTATGTTTTACAAGTCCTTCACATAAAAGTGCTGGTTATATAACTTTAATAGAGAGTTCACATGTAAGTAATTCATCTAAGAGTTTACGTGTAAGTACTTCATTTAAGAGTACTTCATCTAAGAGTGCTAATATATTAAAACGTTAGAAACTCATTAAAAAAAAATATTTCTTTATAAAAAGATGGAATACAAAAATATGGAATACAAAAATATGGAATGCAAAAATATGGAATTCAAAAATATTTATTCAAATTTTCCAACACCACCAGAAGGCTCAAGTTTCCAAGATCAAGGTTATGTATATCGTTAACAAAAGATTAGTGAGATTCAAAAAGAGATAGAACGTGAGAGAAAAAAGAACAATGTCAAGTAAAAAGTATCATAGAGCTGTATGAATAATTTCAGCAATTGATAATGCATTAATACCAAGCACTATAGCACTTGGAGCTATTGGAATTGGTTTTTTATCAACAATAATTGCATTTCCAGCAGTTATTGCATGTGAAGGTGTAGCATTGGGGGCAGGTCTATTATCAATGATAGGTGGACAAGTTAATAAAAAATTAAATTTAAAAGCAGAAAAGCATGAAAAGATTAAAGTGTTGGCTGATTCAAAACAAAATACAATAACTGAATATATTTCTAAAGCTTTAGTAGATGGAAATATAAATGAACAAGAATATGAAATGATACTTAGAGAACTTGAAAAATTTCAAGTCATGCTTGAACAAATTAAAGCAAAAGCTAAAATTGAAATTGATGAACAAACTAAGACATCATTAATTAACCAAGGAAGAGAAGAAGCTATTAAAACACTGCAAACGTAAACACGTTCAACTACAAAAGTAAGCACGTTCAACTACAAACGTAAGCACGTTCAACTGCAAACGTAAACACGTTTAACTACAAACGTAAAAACATGTTTTTTAAATAACTAATTTAAAAAAATGTTGATGGATGAGCAGTTGAAAAATGTAATTTAGCATTTACTTTTTCAAATGCTCATCCTGGAATAACGCCTAAACCTGAAACTATAGAAATAACGAGTAAAGATGTTAAACCTGATATGAAACCTAATAGTAAAATGATTACAATTGGAAAATATATAGGAACTATAGCAACAAAATATCTACAGTCCGCATATAGTGATAAAAAGGCAGCAGATACTACATTCGATATACACTCAAAAAGTGGAAAATTGTATATAGAAAAAAAAACCAATATTAATTGATAATAATGATATAATTATCGATGACAAAAAATATATTGGAACTACTGGTCTTTGGGAATTGATAACAAAAGCTATTTCTAATAAATATATATATATATATAATGAAGACAATCTTGAAGATTATAAAAATATATTGAAAGAAACAGATGCTATTTTTTCTAGTAAATATCCAAGAAAACCTAGATCATCTAGAAGTGAAAAATATAAAGAGATAATAAAACCTATTTGGGAAGAGATAACTGGAAAATCTGGAAAAGGAGTAATAATTCTTCCTAGTGATCCAGATGCACTAACTGAAATGCTTACACTACGTATAGTTGCGCGGAAAACAGGGAATACTGGTGCTAGAAATGAAGCTGTTGCAATTTGTGATGAATTAAAACGACAATGTGTGATCAATGCGGAAGAGTATAAAGAGAATTTGTTAAATCTTTAGATCTAGATTTATGGAGATCCGAAGGATCAAGATAAAGATAAATTAAAAAAATATGTATAGTAAATAAAATGTTAGTTGTACAGAACAAGAGATATATGAAGAAACATGTTATTGGTGGAAGTGGAATATTTGATAGCATTAAAAATTTATTTAGACGAGTAGCAGCGTCAAATTTAACAAAAGTATCATCCGTTATGCTAGATATCTGCAATAGATTAGCTGCTAGTGACTTAGGAAAAACTGCAATAACTGCTGCAAAGTTAGCAGGAAAAGAACTTGCTACTACTGCAATATCTGCTGCTAAAGATGTTGTTATAGACAAAGGAAAACAATTAATTCAAAAAGCATCAAATACAACAATTTCACCTAAAAGTAAAGAAATACTTTCAAATTAGATTAAGTCTGGATCTGCTGAAGTAACAAATATAAATAAATTAATGATGGGATCAGCAATAAATTCTAGATCTAAAAGATCCATGCTTCGTACAAAGAAAATTTTGAATGCGAATGCAATTAGAATAGAAGATTTAGTTAAAAAAGGACGTGAATTAAGATTAGCGTAGATCCAAAGGATCCATATGTAGTAGCTAATTACATATTTTTTATATTAGAGTATGATATAAAAAAATTATCTTTTGTATAAAAAATGGCAACTTCTGACGTATTAAATTTTACAGAAACCCCAATTATAAATAAAGGAATTGAAAGATATGAATTCCATGAATATGAGCCAGTAGCTCGTAAAAATCTAAATAGGGAAGGAGAAATAAGAGTTAACATTGAACAGCAAGATCTGTTTACACTTCCATCTGAAGCTTTTCTTTTGTTTGAAGGAAGACTTCTTAAAGCTGATGGAACTGCTTCTGCTAAAAATTATAAAATGCAGATTCTTCTTCTAATTCTTCTATTTTATTTTCCATTTCTTTTATTTTTAATTTTATTTCTTTTAGTCTTTCTTTTTTAAATTTTAATTCTAATTTTAATTCTAATAATCTTTTGTAAGAATTTTTGCATTCTTTTTTATACGATTCGTTTTGGATTTCGTTTTCCATTCTTTTTATGCAAGAAATTTATTTAACTAATTTTCAAATAATTTAAATTATTGTATTTTTTTATTTATGAAGTTATTAATATACAATGTTCATTTTATTTCCGTCAGATTGAAATTGTATCATTCTATCAGACATTACAACAGCAGCAAATGGAGATGCAGTTTCACTTACAAACAATGGTATTATGCACTTTTTTAGTCAAATAACATACCAATTATCAAACCAAGAAGTAGAATCAGTTTATCATCAAGGTCAAGCAATTACAATGTTAGAAATGCTCAAATACCCAAATGACTTTAAATTAGCACAAGGATTAAACCAATTGTGGTCTAAAGATTTTGCAACAACAGCAGAAATTGCTGATAACGCAGGATTTGCAATAAGACAAGCTTGCATAGTTCAGAAACCAACTACAAAAGGAACATTTTCATTTAGCATACCTCTAAAGCACATTTTTGGGTTCTGTGATGATTACAACAAAGTTATTTATGGATTTAAACATACACTAACTCTTGTTAGAAAAAGTGACGATGATGCATTTTTTTGAGTTGCTACTGTAGCTGCTGGACAAGTTAATCTTGATAAAATATCATTGTTTATATCACATGTTATTCCATCAGACAGATAGAAAGAAATAATCTTTATAAAGCTATTGAATCAAAAGTGACACCCAGTAACTTTTCATTCACGACAGTGTATAACTGTTCCACAATCTACTACATTTACTTGGAGACTGAGTGTAAAAACAGCAACTGAAAAACCAAGATATATTATTGTTGGATTCCAAACAAATAAAGATGGAAATCAAGAACTCAATCCTTTAATCTTTGATCATTGTGACGAGAAAGATATCTTGCTGTTGATTATAATTTATCGTTCCCTAATCAACAATTTTCACGAGCATATAAAGATGCATCTACGTTTAGTGAGAAATTTTATGGAATGAATGAACTGATCACACAAAGTAACATAACTCCTGCTGACTATAAAAATTTATACCCACTTATGGTTTTTGATGTGAGTAAGCAATCAGAAAGATTAAAATCATCAGTAGTAGATGTTCAAATTAAAGCAACATTTAATGCAGCTGTTCCAGCAGGTACTGAAGCATTTGCTGTTGTAATGTCTGATAGAATGATACAATTTCAATCTGACGGAAATAAAATGAACATTGTATATTAATAACTTCATAAATAAAAAAATACAATAATTTAAATTATTTGAAAATTAGTTAAATAAATTTCTTGCATAAAAAGAATGGAAAACGAAATCCAAAACGAATCGTATAAAAAAGAATGCAAAAATTCTTACAAAAGATTATTAGAATTAAAATTAGAATTAAAATTTAAAAAAGAAAGACTAAAAGAAATAAAATTAAAAATAAAAGAAATGGAAAATAAAATAGAAGAATTAGAAGAAGAATCTGCATTTTATAATGAATATGAAATAATATTTAGAAAAAAAAGACTAGAAAAATTAAAATTAAAAATAAAAGAATTGGAAAATAAAGTAGAAGAATTAAAAGAAGAGTTAAAGTTAGAAAAATTAAGATTAAATTTAATATTAGGAGAAAAAATATTAGAAGATTTAGTAGTAGAAGCAGGATCAGAATATGATTTATATTTGCTATCATATTTAATATTTAATGAAAAAAGAGTTAAAAAGATTAGAAAAAAAAATAGAAGAAAAATGTTTAATAACTGAAGAAAGAATAAATCAATAAAGATTTGAAAAAGAAGTGTTAGAAGATTTAGAAGAAAGATTTAATTCAAGATCAGAATTAGTATTTGATCATAAAAAAAGAATGAATCAATTACAAGATATAGTAGGAGTGTGTGGTGTGAAACGGATATAAAAAGGAAGATTTTGAAAGTTTAAAAAAATTAATAATTGAAAATAAAAAAATATTGTTAAAAAAATTAGAAGATTATGAAAAAGAATTAGAAGAAGTAATTATAACTGTATTTCATAAAATTGAAATAGTAATTTTAGAACTAATAAAATCATTATCGGAAAATATTAGTCCTGACAATTATTAAATTAATAAAAAAATAAAATGTAAACAAATAGATCACGAAAAGTTAAAAGGATCAGAAGAAAAATTAGAAGATTTTGAAAAAAGATTAGAAAGAAGATTAAACACAACAATAACTAACTTAAAAAAATTGATAAAAAAAAAAAAAAATTAAAACTTAAACAAAAAAATTATGAAAAAGAATTAAAAGAAGTAATTAGAACTGGATTACATAAAATTGAAATAGTAATTTTAGAACTAATAAAATAATTATCGGAAAATGTTAGTCCTGACAATTATAAAGTTATTAAAAAAATAAAAAAATTAAAACTTAAACAAAGAGATTACAAAAAGTTTGAAAAAAGAATAGAAGCAATAGGATTAGAAGACAGTTTCGAACTGGCAGTAGAATCACTATTAGAATTTTTTTAAAAAAGATCATACATAACAAACTTAAAACGTGAACAAAAAAATTACTAAGAGTTACAAGAAAGAATATATCGCGAAGGATCAGAAAAATTAAAAGAACTAATAGAATTATTTAAAAAAAGATCATACATAATAATAATAAACTTAAATAAATTAAGATTAAAAATAAAAGAATTAAAACTCAAACAAAAAGATTACGAAGAGTTGGAAGAAAGAATAGAAGCAATAAGATTAGAAGACGATTTAAAACTAGTAGTAAAAGCAGGATTAGAATTAAGAAGATTAGAAAGAAGATTTGCAAAGATTTAATAAAATATACAAGAAAAACATAACAATTTAAATTATTTGAAAGTAATTTAAATTAATTTTCTTTATATAATAAAAATGAGTGATAAAATAAAATATACAAAAAAGTATTTATTAAAATTACTAAAAGAAAATAATATTCAACAAACATCTAAAGACCACATTGCATTAGTTATGATTGCTATGGATAATAATTTAATTGATAAAGAATCTATACTATCAAATATCATTACAAAAAAACCAAAAAGAGTTAAAAAAAGAAAAAGTGAAAAAAGAGAAAAGACCTGTAGGAAGACCGAGAATTTATCTAATAAAAGAAAAAAAAAAGAAAGAGATCCTAAATATGATAGACTAACAAAAATTAGAGCAAATCCAGTAACTATTAAACTAACTAATGTAGAAACAGGAGAAGTTAAAATATACAATTCTTTATATGATTATATCAGAAAGGAAAAACATGGATATAGTTATTTAGAGTCACATAATGGAAAAGTTAAAAATGATATAAAAATAGAAGTTATAAATTCTAAAATAGTTAAATATGATGAAAAAGAAAACGTAGAATAATTTCTTGTAAAAAATTATTTTTATAGAAAAAATCTATAAAAATATGAAACGAAATTTTTTTAGTTTTTTAATTTTAATTTCTTGTCAAAAAATAAAAAATTGAAAATGAGATAATAAAATTTCTATTGTATATAAAAAAGGAAAATATAAAATTAACAGAATTGAGACAAATCGCAAAAGAGCGAAAAATAAAATATTATAATAGAATGAGAAAACAGATCTTATTATAGAATTTTAGCGAAGATCACATACTTCAGACGAACCTATTCCAGTACACATTACACCAAATGCTCTAACACCTTCTCAGTATGTTCCAAGTAATTATACTATTTTTTTAGTGATAAAGTGAATTCATTTGCTACTTTGGTTATGTCCTATGTTCCTGAATCTATTAAAAAGACAGCTAATAAAAAAATTAACGAACTTAGTTCTGCAGTTTCTAATTTGTACAATAGATTTATAAATAGAAAAAAAGTAAATAAACCAGTAAATAAACTAATAAAATATAAATTAACACAATCAGCTATTGAAAACGTTACAAAGCAATTTTCAGCTGAAGATTTTAAAGGATATGATGCTTTGTCCTTTATGAAATCAGCTAAAAATAGTGTCATTCAAATACTAAATAGCAATAAAGGATCAAAGATCTATATCGTTTTTTCATGTAAAATGGAGCGTGTTAATCTTAAAACAGGAGAAACTATTACAAATATAGCAACTTTTTTAACATTACCAAAGATCGTATTAGAATCAACAGATTTGAATGAACCCTATGAAAGAGCCACAAATAAAATTTTTGAGTTATTATCAAATTTTCAACAGATGCGATCAAGTTGGAGATTTGTATCAGTTAAAAAGATGGACATTAATATGATTGAGTATAATCCTATTAAAGGCAAATCTTACGTTCCTCTTCCTAAAAAGGCAATCATTAATATTAAAAATGAAGACAACGAATGCTTTAAGTGGTGTGTTGTAAGGTTTTTAAATCCTAAAAACGATCATCCTGAAGGAATATATAAAAATCTTAAAAAACAAGCCGAGAAATTAAATTAGGAAAATATAAAATTTCCAGTATCACTCCATCAAATTACTCAATTTGAAAAAAAATAAACAAGATATTAGTGTCAACGTCTTTGGATATGAAGATTTATTAGTTTACCCTTTAAGAATATCTAAAAATAAAAACAGACAACATCAAATCAACTTGTTACTCGTTTCAAATGATGAAACTAATCATTATTGCTTGATAACAAGTTTAAGTAGATTACTATCTTCACAAATATCTAAACATGATGGTAAAATGCACTTTTGTAGAAATTGCTTGTTAGGATTCAGTACTGAGGAATCTTTATCAAAACATAAATTTTATTGTGATACTCATGATTTAGTACGAACAGAACTTCCAAAACCAAATACAATGATAGAATTTGGTCATTTAAAAAAAAATATGAGAGTGCCATTCGTAGTCTATGCAGACTTTTATAGTTTTATAACACCAATTAACATTTGCACACCCAATCCAAATAACTCCTATACAAAAAAATATCAAAGACATACACCAAGCTCATTCTCCTACTACATTAAATGTTTTGATAAAAGTGTTTATGAAGGAAAACCAGTCGCATTTACTGCAGGTAGTGAAGAGGATGATTTTGCACAAAAATTTGTTGATATGTTCGAAGCAGATATAAAGAAGATTTACAACGATTATTTAATATTCCCTAAAAAGATGATATTTACACCTGAAGACAAAGAAAGTTTTAATAATGCGAAAAAATGTCACATTTGTGAAGAATTATTAAAAGAGCATAGAGTACATGATCATTGCCATATTACTGGTAAATATAGAGGTGCTGCGCATAGCGATTGTAATTTAAAAAATAAAACTCCAAAATTCATGTCTTTTTTCCTAACCTATCTGGTTATGATTGCCATTTGTTTATAAAGAAACTATTGTCAGAAGAAGAAAAATTAAATTGTATTCCTAACAATGACGAAAAGTATATTAGCTTTTCTAAAGAAATTAAAGTTGATGAATTTATTAATAAAGAAGAAAAAAAAGTTGAAGTTAAAAGAGAACTCCGTTTTAATGATAGTTTTAGATTTATGGCTGATAGTTTAGATGAACTAGTAAAAAATTCAACAAAAGAACAATTTAAAGAACTAAGTAAAAATATTAAGAAACTATACCCAAGTAGTAAACTAGATTTATTAATAAGAAAAGGTGTTTATCCCTATGAATGGGTTGATTCTATTAATAAATTTTCTGAAACACAACTACCACCAAAAAAATCATTTTATTCAAGATTAAACTATGAAAATATTAGAAATTAAGATTACTCACATGCGCAAACTGTATGGAAAGAGTTTCATTGTAAAACATTTAAAGATTATCATAATTTATACAATGTTTCAGATCTATTATTAGAAAATTTCAGAGATCTTTGCATGAATAACTACAGATTAGATCCTGCTTGGTACTATACTTCACCAAGATTAGCTTGGGATGCTGCATTGTTAATATCTAAAGTAAAATTAGAGCTGCTTAGTGATTATGACATGATTCTTATGATTAAACAAGGAATAAGAGGTGAAATTAGTATGATTTCTAACAGACTAGGAACTGCTAATAACAAATATATGGAAAATTATAATGAAAGTAAAGAATCAAAATACATACAATATTTAGATGCAAATAATCTATATGGATGGGCAATGAGTAAAACCTCTTCCAACAAAAGGATTTCAATGGATGATTGAGAAAGAATTAAAAAATTGGAAATCTATTTCTTGTATATTAGAAGTAGATTTAGATTATCCTGGACATTTACATGATTTACATAATGATTATCTACTTGCTCCTGAAAGATTAAAAATAGACAAAGTTGAAAAATTAGTACCCAATTTAAATAATGAAAAAATTTATTTAATTCATTATGAAAACTTGAAATTATATGAAAGGTTAGGATTAAAAATAACAAAAATCCATAGAGGAATAAAGTTTGAAGATAGTGAGTGGCTAAGTAAATACATTAAACTCAATACAGATTTGAGAACAAAAGCAAAAAATGACTTTGAAAAAGACTTTTTTAAACTAATGAACAATTCTATATTTGGAAAAACAATGGAGAATAATGAAAACAGAGTAGATGTGAGACTAGTCACTAAAAGAGAACAACCTATTAAATTAGCATCAAAACCCAACTATGAAAGTAGAACAATATTTGATGAAAATTTAATTGATATTCACATGAAAAGAACAAAACTAGTTTATAATAAGCCCATTTACTTGGGTTGTTTATCCTAGATTTAAGCAAGACTTTGATGTATGAATTTTATTATGATTACAACAAAATTAAATATAAAGATAAAGCAAAATTCTTATTCACAGACTCTTTAGCATACAAAATAAAAACAGAAGACTTTTATGTAGATATTTCTAATGACGTTAGAAAACTAGTGAATTTGATAAAAATCACCCAGCAATTCAAAATGGATTTAAAGTTGGTGAAAATAAGAAAGTATTAGGAATGTTTAAAGATGAATTAGCAGGAAGACAAATTGAAGAATTTATAGGAATAAGGTCAAAGTTGTACTCTTATAAACTACAAGAAAAAGACGTAGTTCCCATAACTGATGAGAAATATAAAAATCCTAAAAAATGTAAAGGAGTGAAGAAAAATGTTGTTAAAAAGTATATAACACATGAAGATTATAAAGATTGCCTTCTTAGGGGTTGTCCATAAATTACGTCACGCTATAACGGGGGGGGGGGGGATTGGTGGTTTTGTGACGACTCATTCAAAACTCGCTTCTAAAGTGTTACGATTTTGTGACGAGGAGGAGGGGGGGTTCGAAAACGGTCAAAAATTGCGTCATAAAATGATTTCATAAAGATTTCATAAAAAAATGAATGTCATAAGATCTCATTTACATGAAGTTTATACAGAAGAAATTAACAAAATAGCAATCAGTGCAGAAGATGACAAAAGAATTATTTTGGAAGATGGAATTCATACATTGGCATATGGACATTATAAACTAATTCTTATGGATTCGAAGGATCTAACAAAATCTGGATCCCTTCTGGATCTAAATACAGTAAAAGATAAACCAAACTTTTCATTTCAGATTGATTGGAATGAAAGTGATAGTAATTGAAATAAATAAGCAGGCAGGCAGGCACAACGAAGTCAACGAGGTCTCAAATAAGGAAAAAACAGGTAAGTAATTTTTTTATATCTCGAAGAGATCTAAAAAAATATCAAACTATTAATAAAAATGAACAAAAGAATCAATGTTGAAGAAATTATATTACCAAATGAACCTCTAACAAACTTTCAATTAATAAAAGCAGCAAAAAAATTAAAAATAAAAAAATTTTAGAGGTGTATTTGTAAGAGATGAATTACCTAATAATACACAAAAAAAATAATGTGGAATATTAAACACAGGAGATTCAAGTACAGGTGGATTTCATTGGATTTGCTAGTTTTGACTCTTATGCATTACCACCTCCAGATGAGCTGAAGAAGTATTTAAAAAGTTATCCAAAAAGTCTGAGCTATTATAATAGTGAAAGAGTTCTTTTTGGAGATACTTGTGTCTCTACGTCTTAAAAAAACTAGATGAAGGATATGACTTTCAGAGTATTATAAACACTCTGTGGTAAATTATTGTAGCGCAAGCGTGAATAACGCGATTCCATTAGCGTTAATTTATAAATAATTATCTTGTATATATAAAAATGCAAAACTCAAATGTTAATGTAAACGTATGCGTAACAGCTACTTCTGGTAATGCTAATACAAATAACACTGTAACGACGACTACTTCATCTTGTAGCAAATGATGTGTATAGTGTAAGAAAAAAATATAAAAACATATACAATAAAATAAATTTTTTTGAAATAAGTTGAATAATTTTCTTGCATATATAAAAAGAATGAAAACGAAAGTGTATTGCAAAATGAAGTGTGTAAAAATAGTATAAAAATAGATAATAATGTTCAAATATGCATTAGCGGAATTAGTGCAAATATTACAACTAAATTTGGAAAAGCTATTGAACTTGATGAAAATAAAGATTATGACATAGCTATAGTTGGATTAGAAACATATAACAGCCTTCCAAATGCGACTTCTTCTTTTTATTATTATAAAGATGTTATATTTATAGAAAATAGTATTACATACTTAGATGGTGAAAAAACAGACATTGTATATTTAGTTGATATAATAAATAATCATATACCAGAACAACGTAAAAGATTTGAAACCTGGAATAAAAAATATCCATTAAAATCAAAAATAATTACACAAATAGATGCTAAGATACTTAACGGAGATAGTGAACTGTTAGACTTACAAGGAGAAAAAATATTTATTAGATATCTAATAAAGAAAAGTGTATCCCAGGTAGAATTTGATACACTCTTTAAAGAAACATTTTCTCTATTAGTAAATGGACTAAAAGCTGAAAAAACACTTGAAGAGGTAGAAAATTCCGCGACGACTAGAAACGAAATTAACACTAATTTGAAAACTGATTTTTAAATTTAAAAATTTATTTCTTAATTATTTTATTTATACACACTATGGATTAAAATGAACCATATATTCAATTGAATATATGGTTGAAAATATGGTTAAAAATATGGTTTAATCTTTTTACGCCTATGAATTTTGATAATATAACTACTTATGTTAGTTCATGCTTATGTCAAATGAGAATATTTTGCATAAAATTATGATGATTACACAAATATCCGATAAAGTTTGCAGCTCCAACCAAAATTGTGAGGGTAATAAGTTTATAAAATATTTGCATTTATTATCTAATACTAAATTTAATTTTATCGAAGGGTTTAAAATTTAATTTAATATTCTTTTAGCGTTCAAATGTTATGAATATCCTCAAACTCCTCTCCAGCCTCCTCAAACTTCTCTCCAAGCCTCCTCAAACCTCCTTGTTATAAAATAAATGCTTAAACATGATACTTTGGGAAAAAAGCAACTGCAAAATAATAGGAGGTTTCATAAGGAAGCTTTTTTATTTAATTTTACACTCGGTTTTATCATTTAATTGCTTATATAAGTTTTATCTATATTTAACTGTCAAATAAGTCCATTTTTTTCTTTCTTTACTCAAATTTACTCAAATTGTCAGCCAAGAAACAAGAGGCCGTATATCCATTCTTTGACTTTCTACCTGAACGTCGGAATTTCTTAAAATATTTTTAAAAAATTTAACAATCTTGAGACTAAATTTTTGA